AACCCGCGTACCACTGGCGCTAAGATAATATGCCTAGGACATATCGGTTAGCAAGTTCCTTTTCAATCCTTTTCAAGTCAAATATCTATCAATATAATCGATAAAATAAATAAAAGCAACAAAAAAAAAAAATAAAAAAAAAATTTATCTCGTAGACCTTACTATCATAACATATCTTTTATATATGGGACTTCAAGCCACAACTCTGTTTTCTAATTGCGCTCGAGCGCTGTTATCCTTTGGGGGTTTCGGTAGAAGGAAGAAAGAGGCCCGAACGTCGTTTCCCCTTGAGGCGTTTCGGAGCCTTTTTTTAATTATTCTAGGCCAGTGTTTAGCTACAATCCCACCTGATGGTAAGCAGTGGTGTAGCCTAAGACTTAACAAAAACCTACTCACTCTTGCCTTGAAAACACCCACACTGTAATCGGATGGAGAGACAGATGCTGGCAACTTATTCCTCTCCTTTGCTGTACGCATGACGAACGACGTAGCAAACGGTTTGGTTCGAATGTGTAATAAGTCAACAACGAGAGGGTGGAGACTTGTCGAACGTCTGGTTGTCCGATGGTGGAAGGGATAGGGAGGAATTAAATTACGCAATTCCTGCGCACCCTCTCCGAAATGCATCCTGTAGAAGACCGAAAGGCTGGCTACTTTGCGCCTGTGTTCGAGGCTGGTAAGATTAGTTTTAACCAAATACTGGTCGCCAATAAGCCTCTTAGCACGCCTTTTCATTGAATCCAAAGCTGCTAGGTGGAATTTTGCAGCATCAGCCCAAATAAGGCAGAAATACTCCATGTACGACAGGACTTGCGCTTTATATAAAGTAAGCAGCTGTTCCGGGGTCGACGCCACCCAATTAATTGTACTCGCGCACGGTGGGGAGATTGTTGGCGCCGCGAAATGAATCATCTTATTAAATGCTAATTTTTGATTAAAAAGAATGAATGAATGTTATTGTATTATCTTAGTGTATCATAGAATTCAGCTATGTAATACGACATTACATTCAATACCCCATATCTTCCCGTGGGTCTCGTAAAAGGCGACAGAGGGAAAACTGCAAAAGTTGGGCAGCAGGATTTTCGTGATAACATCAATTGTAGAACAACAAAATTGCGGTTACCAACCCGCTCACCAAGCGTGGCAACTATGGCAAGTACCCCCCCCCCCCCCAAGAGCAAAGACACAAGTTAACATTCCCCAGTCCGGCCCCTGCTATTCCTGGCTACAGTGCCGACCATGGTAACGGCGGGGCAAGGAGTGCTAAGCATCTCCGGTGGAGGTTCGTTTGCCACCTAAGATGACTCGACCAGGCAATATACCTTGAGGACTGACGAGAAGATCCTGGAGCTGGGAGAATGAGCCATACATTCCTCCAAAACTCACTATACGGTGTTAATCAGAGACTTCAACGAAAAACTAGGCACAAGAGAGAACGGTGAGCTGAAGGGGAGGGGGGGAGTTTAGGATAGGGCTACGGAACCCAAGAGGTCAGCAGCTGACCTACTTCATGGAGAAAGAGGGTCTCTTTATGATGAACTCTTTCATCCAGAAACGGCCCCGCAGAAAGTGGACCTGGTCGAGCCCCGACGGTTCGACAAAAAATGAGATTGACTTCATTACGACGAGTAGACGGCAAGGGTGAAAACTGGCAGAAATCACCGTATTATTAGAGGCACACTGAACCTAAACGTTAAATTGGAGAGGTCTCGTCTAATGAACTCAATGTCCCGAAACCTTTCAGCTCGAGTTACAAATCCATTTTCAACGCCTAGAAGACTGCAATGTAGTGGACGATATGAATAATAAGCTCGTGAAAACTATCTATGCGGTCGAAGCTAAGTATTGCAAGTCCCGCCGTGGAAGAACACAAAAACTCTCCGATCACACTCTTAATCCCATGGCTATTATACGGGAAATGAAGCTGCAGTCTTTATCAGATTTGACAGCATGGCAACTGAACAGACAAATCTCCAAATGCATGCGGCGGGACTAAAAGATTGAAGAAGCGATCGAGCGGAACCAGGGTTCCAAAGTCTTTGCTAGAGATCGGTCTGCCAGATGGAGACAATTGTCAAAGCTGAAGACCGAGTGTGGCAGAATTGTTTCCGGGACACTTGAGATTTTGATTGAGATTGAGAGGTTCTTTGGGCAGCTGTACACATCATCGTTGAAGCCACACGCAAGTGTGAGTAACGATCCAAGAGTAAGTCTTATTCGACATTATTCCGATGATATCCCGGACGTCAGTCTGCAGCACCTTAAAACGGCAAGGCCCCAGGCGACGATGGAATTATAGCGGAGCTTCTGAAAGCGGGTGGAAAACGGATACTTAAAGTCCTTCAGAAGCTCTTCAATTCCGTCCTCCATGGTGGCACTACTCTAGAGTACTAACGAGTACGTTTACCTGGGACAAATAGTCCGACTAGGTAAGTCCAACTTCGACCGAGAGGACGATTGATTCAACTCGGCTGGGCAGCATTCGATAAGTTACGACACATCTTCTCGTCAGGTATACCTCAAAATCTCAAAACTAGATTTTACAACCAGTACGTGTTGCCAGTGATGACTTATGGATTTCAGACGTGGTCCTTCACTGCTGGCCGTATGAGGACGATCAAGGTTGCTCAGCGAGCTATGGAGAGGGCTATGCTCAGAGTTTCTCTGCGTGATAAACTTAGAAATGAGGACATCCGCAGTAGAATCGAAGTGACCGACGTAGCCCAACGCATTAGTAAGTTGAAGTGGCAATGAGCCGGCCATATAATTTGAAGAACCGACAACCGATGGGTATTAAAGGTTCTCGTGTCGCAACCTTAGGTGACCCCCCACTAGATGGAGTGAAGACCTGGTAAGACATGCAGGAAGTCGATGGATGCAGATGGCTCAGGACCGTGCTTTGTGGCATTCCTTGGGGGAGGCCTTGGTTAAGAGGTGGACTTATGAAGGGCTGCAATGATGATGTATGAAGACCTCTATAAGCAGTGCTCTATGGGAGAACATAGTTTGAGTAAGTATTTCGACGGAAGCGATAACCTTGGTTTACATTATCGACAGAACCAAAAGAAGCGGTTTGACTGACGAACGGCAGGTTGAGAAGTTTCTACTGGATCATGTCTTCACCCAAGCTGGATGTGAGAATTTCGTAATAATGCACGACAATGTTGCTACGTGCTTTTGTTATTGGTTTTTTTTTTTCTCTGAATAAATCATTTGGGGTAAAAATTTAGAATCGTTTGACTGGTGACTGGAGAGAGTGTGGGGAAAAGGGAAAGGGGAGTGTCCGCTACACCCTGACGCCACTCTTATGAAAACACCGTTCTTGAAAAAAATTAAAAAGAAAATCCCATAGCCCTAACCTCAAAATGAAAACATAATATCTCTTTCCAGTGGGATGGGAAGGAGGAGAGGGGAGCGGTGGTGTCCTTTAGCATAACTGCACGGTTTCTAGGTTCCTCAAGTATTTCAGGGTGGTAAAAAAATAACCACGAAGGCTGTGGCGGGAACTGCAATGCGCTTCGCTCTCAGATTTCTAACCTAACTCAACTGAAATAATTACGGGATGTAAAGTATATAATAATAATTTCTTTATTATTTGTATACATAATTTATTATGAGAGTAGTTATAGACCACAGAATAATAAAAACACCATAGAAGTATAATAAAAATAATATGACACTTGTCTTTAACATGGTCTTACACCCTTGTCGCACTAACACAAAATTATGTATACTATCCAGATTTCACAGTAATATTGCATTCGTTTTCCCATTTTTTACCAAAACATGACCAGATACAACACCTTACTCTTCCGAATTTCTGCCAAATGATTCTAATCCAACCCTAACTTATGTGCGTTATATTACACCATAGAATGGCTATTTGAACCAGCTCCAGAGAATAATTAACTTCTCTTTCAACTTACGACTTAAAATCACTATGGTAGAAAAGTATTGCAAGATTTTATTAAGAATTATTAATAAGTAGGTACCTAATTAATCATCTCATGTTCTTATGCTCACATGCTCACATGCTGGAAAAGAAAATTCAAAGTATATTAAAATGGTTTCCAAAATAATTTAGTATCAATATAACCCTTCCGCAAATTTTCATTATTTTCCCCCGTTTACTTTCTTTTTTGTTTTTTTACAAAAATATATCGACGAATATACGAGTTTTAGTGTATTAAACACTAAAATTTTTTATTATTATTTATTATATTATGCTATATTTTGTTATTATTTTATATATATTTTATTATTATAAAGCCGAATTAGGCCATAAAACCATTGTAAAGCTTTTCATTTCAACTTCATAAAAAAAGAAGGTCCTAAACTTGTAAGCTTTGAGTTGATTTTTTACTCACCAATTCAAACTTTTTTTTTAGTTTCTTAGTTAATACCTAAGGTTTTCTCACCAGATTTCCTTTCAACGCCATGCAGATTATAAATCGGCACTTCGGTTTCAAAATGTTAAAGTAGTTAAAATAGTAGTTTTAAAAATAACATAATATACGTTGTTTTCATATTGTTACATTTTTTCTTCATTGAATAAAAAATAAAAAGTTTTATTATAAATATTTTCGAATAATCGAATGATGTAACATAGTATTATGTTGTATTTTATCTAATATTATGTTTTACGGCAGTTATTTTAGGGGCTTTGATCTTAAAAGGGGAATTCAAGTATGGCGACACTATGTTATGAGAACGACGAATGAGAATGATTGAATGAGACAAAAATTTCTCGTAGATGCGTGTGTAGAATAGAACTAATTTTCTGAATAATTTTGTGTGAAAAAAGTTTATAATTTGTTAAAATTTTAGTATATTGATACTAAACGATAGAATAAAACAAACTCAAAGCTATCTTGTTTCCAACAAATATTACAGAATTCATTAAAATAAAGATCTGCGTCTATCACAAATATGGCCGTCCTGTAATGATTTGGTGGTCAGTGATATTAGAGCTATTTGGTCTCAATTAAATTTCCAAAATGGAGCTTCGTGTCGGTAATAAATACCGACTGGGTCGTAAAATTGGCTCTGGATCTTTTGGAGATATATATTTAGGTAAGTTTAAATTTTTTGTAAACAAAGAAAGGTGATCTGTATAGTATAGGACGTCTGCAATCTTTTTTGTTTCGAAATAGCTAATACTTTTTGTCAGCTGAGTTGTAGTCCAGAGATAGTGTTAAACTACACTAAATTTTCTTAATACTTGAATATTATTTATAACTAATGTTTCGAATGAGATCGGAATACATGTGATTTCATTGGCGTATTGTGATACTAAAAATTGTCTTATAATAATTTTTAAAATTTTAAAAAAGATTTGATGAGTTGAGGTTTCATAATAATAAATTTATTGCTTATTGTTTATAAATAAATAACCTTTAAAAAAAGCCAAAAATTTATAACCTAATTCATTACTCTAAAATCTGATTTGTATGAAACAAACTTGATTGAATAAAGGTTTTTAAAATATGTCACATTTTGTCTTTCTATTACATTACTATCCAAGTGTTATGCCACAATATAATTAGTTTTGATTGTCTACTAATTATACCATAACAAAAATCTATTTACTCATAGACTATGAAAATATAACAAAAATTGTTCACTTTCCAGGAACAAACATTGTGACCAGGGAGGAGGTTGCTATTAAACTAGAATGTATCAAAACACGACATCCACAGTTACACATAGAGAGCAAATTTTATAAACTTATGCAAGGGGGAGGTGAGTAATAGGATTTTTATATATATTTTTTTCATTTATTCTCAGTTTAAAATATAGCTAATATTTTCATCTTCTATTGTGTGGTGCTTGTGCAAAAGACATTAATTTTACTGTCACAAATGTCATGACAGCACATTGGTGGTAAAAACATGGATGAATGCTTGCACATTTTGTGCCCCCCCCCCCCTCGGTGGTCCCCCCCCCCAAAAAAAAAATTTTATTTTTTTTTTGTGTATAAGAAAGCCATTTTTTTTTTTTTTTTAAAAAAAAAAAAAAAAAAAAAAAAATTTGAAAAAATTTTTTTTAAAAAAAAAAAAAAAAAAAACCCACCAAACCCCCCCCAACCACCACTTAAAAACAACACAACAACTTTTTTTTTTTTTTTTTTTTTTCTGCATGTAATTTTACTGTCTGTAATGTCATGTGTTACCAACATGGTGTCAGGTTTTAAGGCTAAATCTAATTTAATGATTATACTTGGAAAAAAGTAAAAACTGACAAAATTAAATGGAAAACAATTGGTGATGATATTGCATGACATACTTACAAGAGAACATACAGTCAAATTAGAATTAAAATATCTCTTTTTTGATTTCAGCAAAAAAGGGCTAGATAAGTCAAACACTTCAAATTTAATAATTTAGTCTTTAATATTTCAACATTTCTAAAGTTTAATTAGAAAAATACCAAAATAGATGTTTAACATTTTTAAGTAACAAGTGATGAACACTAAAAAACTTAATCCAAAATGTTGGAATGAAAAACTGAGACAGTAAAATTATATGTATCTAACTATCCATATAAGTGCATAATTATGTATGCAAAATAGTAGACTGCTATATTTATTGTAAAAAGTGATAATTACAGACAATAATTAAACCCTGTAGTGCACCAGCACCATAAGGAATCTTCCACTCTGTTGTATTAGATTTTACTATTATATTTTCTTCAAAAGTATACACATAACTTAAGAATAAAGAACATAATATAAACATACCATGAAGAAAATAGTTTTAAAAATATCAGTTTTACTATAAAAGATACTGTTCTAAATCATTAAATCTCCGTAAAAATGCTTAATAAAGGTTTACAACTTTTAAATAGGTTTGCTCCTATTGCTCTAAATAACATTAGAAAATGAAATATGAAGCTCAATTCTTAAAAATCTCAACAAAAACATTAATATTTTTAAAACATCACATTTTCATTTTTGTGAATATCTTCCAAAAATGTAATAAACATTATGATATTCTTAAATTTTCAACACAATCCTTTTATTGTTTCTTATAAATTAAGTATAGTATGTACGCAAAATTTAAATGTACATTTAAAGCATGTTCATATCACTGCCCAGAAGGCTATTTTCATCAGTATGATGAGATGCCAGCGGGGTTACAAGGTGGGGGGGGGTATTGCAATTGTGTTGGTGCCATTCATAATAATTTTCTGCCTTGCTTACTTTTGTTACTTGCACTTGCATGCAATTTTGAATATTGTTATATTTGGAATAAAGGTCGTAGTATAATTTTGTATTATAATTTGTTTTGAACTATTGTTATTTTATTTGTCATATTTAGGTGTTTCATAGTCATAGTACCTATCTACATAGTAAACAATCGCAGACATAAAGAAAATCAGATGTAATGTTACACTGAAAATGGTTGAAGCTCCTTAGATCTTACAATTTTGTTTCTGACTTGTATTTGTGTCACAAATTTACATTTTAAATATAATATTCATACACTTATGTGAGAAACTCTACCCCCAAGAGCTTAAGATGTTTGAATTACAATGACATCTTAGCGTTGTTCCTCGACACCGGTCCAGATATTTTGTCTGTGTTTCGAAATAGAACCCAGTATACTGGCCAATGCAAATGACATCATAAATCAACACCATACTGGTGATTTGTTTCAAATCATTGGCCAGTATATGACACCAAATATTTGCGCCATATTGGAAGTATTGGCAATTATTTTGTCATTTTGTGCTCCAAAAGTTATTATATCCTGTTTTAATTAATTTGTGAAGAATGGAGATACCAGCAATTACGTTAGTGAGCAGTGTTGCTATTGAAATTCATTCTGATTCATCCGATAGTGATACTGATGACGATGATTTAGTGCTTGGCTATTTAAAAATTATTTTAATATGATGGGATATCAAACACAATATGGTGGCGGCACGCCAGTACAATATGGCGTCAATTAATAACGTCAATTGCATTCGCCAGTATACTGGGTCCTATTTCGGAACACGGACTTAATGTTTAACATAAATTAGATTGCAATACTGCTATGCATAGTAAGTCAAAAGATTTCTCTGGGTTTAATACCGAAAAGACCCAACACACAAGCTCCCCCCCATAGATTGACTCAGGGGCAGATTTTTGCCAAAGTTGCCGCTTGACGTACAGTGATGTTTGCTACCCATCTCCTATTTCAATTTCTCTCTATCGCTTATTACGACGCCCATGGGATGATATGATGTAGTGAATATTATTACACCACCACTGCGCGGTAAATATATGTAAAACTTAAAATGATTGAAATTGTTACGGTTTACTGCAATATATAAAAATAATGTCATAGTACAATAATCCTAATTGACTTAAGAGCCTATACTACCTCAAATGGCTTGGCATGATCCTCAGTTATACCGAAAACACTGCAGTTGAAATACTATGTTAGACGAAAACATGTTTCCATAAAATTTTCTCTATAGAAAAAGTATCTAAATACCTCCAAACCAAACAAACTGCTGGTACTCATAAAATACTCCAAATCAGATCATGATACTTTGCATACTAACTGAACTAACTATAAAGCAGGTGTTTTTTTTATTATCATTATTTACATTGTAAAAAGAAATTACCTAAACTAACGGCGTTTTAAAGCTTTTTTCCCTGCCGCTCGACATCCCCGCTCAGTATCGCTTCGGCTTTCGAACGGGAAAGCTATTAAAATGGGAAATAACCATAACAAAAATAAGAAGTGACTGGGTTGGCGTAAAGAAACAGGCAAACATATGATAAACGTAATGAAGTATGTATCTACCGACCTATCTACTTACAGTATTAGTGATTACAAACATTTAGGTAGAAGATAGCATACGACGCGCGGGGAAGTGGGGGCAATATTAGATTTTGAGCCGAGGTTGTATAAGCTTTTAATCAAGTCTCAAATTGTCTAGTTTTTATGAGATAGAGATTATTTTTGATATTTACAATAAAGATTTTATATATAGCAAAATGCTGAATATGGTTGGTTGTAGACAAGGGACTATGTAGTGGTTTGTAAGAATATCCACTACCTTATATCATCCTGTGGCTGTTGTAAGAACTAACTGAGGGAAACAAACCAAGAGACGGGAAACAGCATATTCCTAATAACAAATATTAAATTAAAACAAAACTGTAATTGCCAACCCATCTGTTACAACGGGGGATCCATAAAAGGCAATCTATGGGGAGGCCTATATAAATTGTAGTAACAGATCATTGTCTAGTCATACCTAAATAAAAAAATTAATACTGTTAGGTTATAATGAACTTAAGTTCTGATTTAAAATTTTATTTAACAGTTGGCATTCCTGCAATAAAATGGTGTGGTTCAGAAGGTGATTACAATGTCTTAGTTATGGAGTTACTGGGTCCTTCTTTAGAGGATTTGTTTAATTTTTGTTCACGTCGTTTCTCTCTCAAGACTGTCCTCCTACTAGCAGATCAACTCATCACTCGCATTGAGGATATACATTACAGGAATTTCATTCATAGGTATGTATATTTTCTACCATATATTACTCTTTATAGTCAAAGATCAATTTTGTTAGTAATGTAGCTACTTATAAAGTTACAGATAACAAGTAACTTGTTTAAATAACAGATTCAGCCTATATACTGGATCTGTTATTTATTGTTGTAAACAAGTTACTTACTTACTTAGTATACTTACGTATATTTGTACAAATGTTGTTTTTTTTTTTAAAAATAAAATAAGGGTAACAAATGGACACACAGTCCACTTGATGGATGGTAAGTGGAAGCTGCGGCCCATAGACATCTACATTTATCCTCGATTAAGAATGAAAACGTAGATGCATTGTCTCCACTCAAGACTACGATGGAATGCCTTGTTTCCAGTAAAAAAGGGTCTCCGGATCTCTACACTCACCATATGTAACACAGCAGTATTAAGCTGCTATTTTACACTGGTATTCTGTGAGAGCGTGGTCGTTCCCCAGTCGCGCCGACCCATTCGTGCTATAACCATAATATAGCTGCAGCATGTCTCTACCACATATAAAATTTTGTTATATGTTGTTTATGCAAGAGTTTCATTAAAATTTGTTGAATATCTCTATGATTTCATGATAAACATAACTTAAATTTGATTTTACAGAGATATAAAGCCTGATAATTTTCTCATGGGCCTAGGTAAAAAAGGAAATTTAGTGTACATAATAGATTTTGGTTTAGCAAAGAAGTACAAAGATTCGCGGACTCTTCAACATATCCCATACAGAGAAAACAAAAATCTAACAGGTAAGAATTGTTTTATCAAATCTCTTTAGGCGGTTTCATAATATTGCTTATAATCAATTGTTTTCTAAAGTAAACAAATTGTATGAATTTAAAAGTGGAATAGGCGGGAAAACGGTATGTAACAAAATTTTTATTTGAATAAATATATTCTTGCTATTATAAACGTGGCAATGGGCAGACAATATACCTGGACAACAGGTTGTCTCATACCTGTAAGAAGCATAGGGTGGCTACTCATTGGATAGAGTGCGACCTAGTAAGAGATGCAGAAAGTCTATGGATGCATGTGACTCACGACCGTGTTTGTGGTCTATTGTGGGGGAGGCCTATGGTCAGCAGTAGATTTGTGATGAGATATAATAATCATGATGATAAATAAAGATTCATTTGCTTCAAACTTGGAGAACAAAAAAGATCATCAAGAGCCATGTAAGCTTACTGAAGGAAAACAGCATGCTCTCCTTGAATTGCACATTGCTGAACCAGTACACAAAGAAATGGATCCTGTTTGATCATTGGAATTATTCATCAAAATCGTTAAACCAGGAAAATAAAGTCAAATTATATACAAAACGCTAATTGAGTTGATTTAAAGCCAATTATTATATTGGATAAATTCATTATCAAATAACAACATCATGTGCTTGTGCACTGCCACTCCTAATTTTTTTATACTTTTGGAGCTATACATGTTACTTTATGGTACATTGAAATTGGATATAATTTTGGGATAACATTTTACATTCAAAATATTTGTAAATTCCATTTGAAATGCCACTGAACAATTTCGTAACGCTTTTCGCTTTCTTCCTGATCTTATTTTCGTTTCCTCTACAGAGTTGAGACTTAGTTACTAAGCACAGTCATTCTGTTATAAACATGTATTAATATTGAAAATATATAAATCGTAATTTTGAACGCCACACTAAAATCGCCTTAAACTATGTCAGCAGTTAAAACTATTTAAATTTTTCCCGTAACTATTTTATAGGAACAGCAAGATATGCATCAATAAACACGCATTTAGGAATCGAACAATCACGTCGTGATGATTTGGAGTCGCTGGGTTATGTCCTCATGTACTTTAATCGCGGAAGTCTGCCTTGGCAAGGACTGAAAGCTGCTACTAAGCGGCAGAAGTATGAAAGAATATCTGAAAAGAAATTGTCCACTCCATTTGATGAATTATGTAAAGTAAGTCATGAGAATTATCTAATTCTATTATTTTGTATACAAATAGCTGTGACAAACATTAAGTGCATGTTTGTCACAGCTATTTGTATACATATATCCATTTTTTTTATTGAGTACATCAGCAGTGCTCTCATAACACATTAAAGATAAAATAAAATTTTATCAAAATTTCTATATAAGACACAGTTTACACTAAGACTCTTATAGAACAATCAAATATAATTTTTACGCTACTTAATATGGAGTTGTGTACAAGGGTACCAATTTAAAAATCAAAAGTCCTAAAAAGGTTTTTTTTTCTCGGAGGAAGTGAGAGATACAAGTGTCGTGCTTTTTTGCTTAAAATTTATTGTTTTATTAAGTGTTGTTGATTTACTATAGTAAATTTTTCTGTCTTGGTGGAGGTTTTAACATCTGTAAATTAGTAAGTGTTTGTAGTTGTGCCGTTTTTATGTAATTTTTTGTTGTAGTAATATAATGGAGGACGAACCTCCCGATCCCGGAAGGGTTCGCAATGACTCCTTTTCCTTACCCACTAACATTGATAATGTAGAACTAATTAACCGTAAACGTGCCCAAGTAAGTAACGAGTCCGCCCATCCACAAAATATAGTTATTACTGATCCAAATCAACAGTTTCCTTCAATACAATCCTCATACACCCATCCTGATTTTATTAATAAAAAAGTTAAGTACTCTCAAGATGATACCGCTCCTTTTCTAGTTCACGTAAGTAAAATCTCAAATGATCAGCTGTCTGGAGTAACTCTTAATCAATTAAATTCAGTCACTTTCTGTATCATAACAATATTAAAAATATAGTCCATGATGGAGTCAAAAAAATTGGACGAAATAGAATATCCGTGGAGTTTAAAACAGCTGCAGAAGCAAACAACTTTATCGATCACCCAGGTCTCCAAATTTCTAAATATGAAGCAACCTCATATAGTATCACTCGTATGGGGCTAGTTAGACAAGTTCCCATAGAGTGGACACTAGAAGAATTAATAGCAGCTATAGAAATTGACTCTGGCTACGGTTCTATAATTAAAGCACGGCGACTTAATAGACGATCAGTGAGTGACAGCAATAGCATTTCATGGGTTCCAACTCAGACGGTTGTTCTAACTTTTTCTGGACAAAAACTTCCTGCCCATATTTACTGTTTTTACACCTCAATGCCAGTGGTAAAATATGTTTTGCCACTAATTCAGTGTCATAAATGTTGTAGATTTGGCCATGTTACTTCCCAGTGCCGATCATCCCCTCCCTGCTTTGTATGTGCACAGAATCATGAAGGTTTACTTTGTACTCGACAAACTCCTACTTGCCTATTCTGCTCTGGTCCCCACACCGCAAAAGACCCTACGTGTCCTGAACATCTAAGGCAAAAATCTATTAAACTTGTTATGTCACAAGAAAATATTTCATATTTAGAAGCTTCAGCTAGATTCCCTCAGACAAAAAGATCCTTTGCTGATACAACAAGAATCCAGCCTCGTAATTGTTCTCGACAGACCCCTTATACTTTAACTGACAGTCTTTCAACCCCTTCGGCTCAGCTCTCACAAACTGCATCATATATAAAAAAAACAATTTTTATCCCTCAACGTACCTGCAGCCAATCATTAAATTCTGGATATATGGCAGCCCAGCTTTCCTCCTTAGCCCGTAACATTCGCAGTCCCGCCAATTCTTCAATGGAATTGTCGGAGCATTAGAAATAAAAAAATGAACTCATTTACCTCATTAATAAACTTAATCCCTTCATTCTTGCCATCCAGGCGACATGGCTTAGGCCTGAGTCTCATTTTAGGGTTTCAGACTACGCATGCCTCCGGGATGATAGGAGTGATGGTCGTGGTGGCACCTCTATTTTAATTTCAAGAACAGTAACATTTTCACAAATTCCTCTTCCTTCTCATAGTCCAGCAGTAAATGCTGTTGCTATTAAGGCCCTTGATGTCTCTGTTCTCTCTGTTTACATTCCTAATCCTGATGTAAATGTTTTAACAGAACTTACAACACTTATTTCTTCTCTGTCACCTCCTATGGTTATTTTGGGAGATTTTAATATGCATCATACTGTTTGGGGCTCCCATCTGTGTGATTCACTGGCTCCCTTATTTTTAGATCTTATTGATAATTTTAATCTCTGTATTCTAAATGACGGGTCTCCTACACGTCGAGTATCCCCATTACAAAATGTTAGAAGTGCCGTTGACCTAACTCTCTGCTCCCCAGATATTGCTTCACTTCTTTTGTGGCAAATATTACCTTCTAGCTATGGCAGTGACCATTTTCCTATATTCATCACTCCTCCTACTTCACCTAGAATAAATTTTACATTTTGCCCAAGACTAAAGTATAATCTATCCAAAGCTAATTGGCAATTATATTCTAAAGTTTTGGAACAAGAGGTTTCAACTCTTCCCCCAATTAACAATGATAATATTGCTCCTGTATATATAGATTTCAGAAATGCAATTATTTCTGCTGCTAATAAATCAATCCCCTTAAAAAAGCCTTTCAAAAATAATTATCCTTCCCCTCCTTGGTGGGACCAAGATTGTTCAGCAGCTTGTAGGAGAAGAAAAGAGGCTGAATTAATATACTCCCGTTCTATGACTGCAGAGAATTATATCTCCTACAAAAAAATTGCTGCAGAAACCTTAAAATTACTGTCAGACAAAAAGCGAACTGGTTGGTTTAAATTCTGTGAGTCACTGTCACCTAGGACTCCCCCATCTTTGGTCTGGAGAAATGTTAAAAAATATCGCTGTGCAGTTTCTAGTGAAAATATAATTTCTAATGATCCTTCCCCGTGGATAGATGAATTCTCTAATAAACTTGCACCACAAACAGTCCCATCTTATGGTGAATGCTTAGTTTTTAATTCTGCTTTTTTAAAAACAAATGATAAATTTGATTCCCCCTTTTCTTCTCAGGAATTGTTTACTGTACTCAATAGCCTTAAAGACTCCTCACCAGGTATTAATGGGATTCCTTATTCATTTATAATTAATAGTAGTGAGAACACTAAAACTGTCTTACTATCCATTTTAAATTTTATTTATATTACTGGTGATCCTCCTGCTGAATGGAAAACCCAAATTATTTTGCCCATTCTCAAACCAGGTAAGTCTAGCAATGACCCTTCCAGTTACCGACCTATTGCCCTTGGCAAAAATCTTGGAACATTTAATAAAAGGAGTGGTTTTTGGAAAGGAATAATCTCTTACCTAAAAGCCAATTCGGTTTCCGAAAAGGTTTAAGTACCATGGATAGCCTAAGTACTTTGGTCACAGATATTCATATTGCTTTTTCAAAACATGAATTTCTCATAGGAGTTTTCTTGGATATTTCTTCTGCATATGATAATGTGCTTCTTCCTGTGCTCAGGCAGAAAATGCTTAATCTGAGCATTCCAGTGAGGATAGTCAATTACGTCTCTAACTTTCTCCCTTCTAGATCAATATCTATAAATGTTAAAAATCTCCTGCTTCCCCCAAAAACTATATGGAAAGGACTTTCACAAGGCTCAGTTCTTAGCCCTCTCCTTTATTCTATATATACTCACGATTTAGAACTTTCAGTAAATTCTTTTTGTAATGTACTTCAATATGCAGACGATTTAGCTCTATACATCTCCTTAAACAACTTCACAGTGGCATGTTCCGGTCTAAACTCATCCATGGATTATTTACAAGAATGGTTAACTAATCATGGCCTCTCTTTATCTGTGGCCAAGAGTAGTGTGGTGATCTTTTCCCGCCAAAGGCGAGTTCACAATATATCTGTTGTATATGATAAGCAATCTATTCCAGTTAGAAGCAATTATAAATTTTTGGGAGTTATCCTTGATTCGAAATTGGCCTTCGGTCCATACATTGAACATATAACACAAAAATGCGAAAAAAACATAAATATTCTTCGGTCTTTGTCAGGTGTTTGGTGGGGGTCCCATCCTTTATCTCAGAAATTACTGTACAATGCTTTAATACGAAGCCACCTTGACTATGGATGTTTTCTGTTGGAGCCTTGCAATAAATCATCCCTGAAAGTAATGGACAAAATTCAATCGAAATGTCTTCGCATTATTACAGGAGCAATGAAATCCTCACCAATAAATGTTGTTCAGGTTGAGTGCATAGATCCTCCTTTAAGATTAAGAAGGCAATACCTTTCAGACAGATTCTTATTTAAGATCTGCCAGCTTTCAGATCATCCCCTAATTCCTAAATTGCACCTTCTTTCAGAGTATATCTCATCTGACCGATACTGGACCCATAAGGACTCTCCCTGCTTGTTTTAAAAGTTTTGTCATTTTTCTTCAGCTTCCTTACCCAATCTTTCAGTGTAAAATAAATCCACTCTTTGATGTTCCTTACGAGGCTCTTGTTTACCAACCCAACATTCATCTAGATCTAGGTATAGAAAAGGATTCTCCAATGGCAAATTTGAAATTAAAAGAAATTATAGAAAACACCTTTAAAGATTGGCTTGTCATGTACACAGACGCTTCAAAACAGTCTGATGAAGACTATACTGGAGCTGCTGTTTGGATTCCTAAGTTCAAAATCATTCTTAACTTTAAATGCCCCTCACTATCCTCCACTTTTACTGGTGAAGCAACTGCAATCAGTGAAGCTTTGTTATATGTAGAGTCACATAATCTTAATAAAACAGTTATTTTCACAGATTCAAAAAGTTGTTTGTTAGCTATTTTGTCCAATCAATTCCATAACAAACATAAATTTCCACTAATTCTTAAAATAAAAAATACCCTATTCAGATGCCATCTTAAGGGAATCCATGTTTCAGTGGCCTGGATTCCAGACCACAGTGGTATCCATGGTAACGAAACAGCTGATGTACTCGCTAAAAATGCAATTGGTAATGGCATTCTACAAAATTTAATTTACTCACATGACCTAATTTTGCTAGCTAAAAGGAAACTGAATGAAAATTGGAATAAATTATGGGAAGTTTCCAAAAATGTTAAAGGTAAGCACTATGCTGCCATCCAAGAGGTTATTCCTCCCAAGCCTTGGTTCTTTAAATTTAACAAAGCAAATAAAATTTGTAGATTAAAATGAAGAATATATTAGGAAGAAATAGAATTGGACACGCTTGTACACATGCACATCTGGCAAAAATCAGAGTAAGGGATAGCTCATTGTTTGATTGTGGCTTAGATGAAGGTTCCACAAACCATATTTTTTTCAACTGTCCCAAATTATCCTCCTCCCTTTATAATTGATTACCTTCCTCCTTATATTCCTCGACCTATAGATTTTCATTCTCTTTTAACATATACCAGTACTCCTTTTGTGTATATTTTAGGTGATTTTATTAATACTAATAATATGAAACTTTAAAACCTTGTCACTTTTAACATACGGGTAAGAGTCTAACACCTGTGTTTGTCATATTTGTTCTAAGTAATTCCACAAATAGATTTGTCAAAATTCTCGGAGGAAAACTGAATCCTTGTATTATCACAGACTCTTATTTTAATTAAACTCATAAGCTTTCATTTTCCACTCAATACGTCATTGGCGAATTTTATCAAACCGCCACAAAAGAAAGAAGAAGAAGTCCTAAAAAGAATAATACATTTATAATATTTAAATATCAATATAAAATAGCAGCTAAATGCTGGTATGTTTCATATGTGAGTGTAGAGAACTGGAGACCAGTTTTACTGGAAACAAGTCATTTCATCTTAGTCCTCACAGGTGACAACGCATCCATTTTGATTTGTAATCAAGGATAAATCTATGGGCCACAGCAACCACTTACCATCAGGTGGACTGTGTGCTCGTTTGTCACCTAAAAAAAACTAATATTCATTAAAATTATTCCACCCTTTACATATAAATTGGTTCAATATGATGGTTTATGGATGCTGTTTGACTCTACACCATTCCAACTATAGTGAATCTGTTTGCTTTGCATGCTATCACAATTTAAGAACCCAAATTTGAGATGAAAATAACTCTGTGTTACTGAAAACCAATGTAATGAGGGATGAATGAAAGGAGTTTCCTCAACTGACATAACAGATCCCACATATACTAAGTACTCCAGTGTACCCTGGGTAATCTGCAAATTTTTCCATTGCATACTTTAATCTTAGATTTGTATTGGATAGTCTGTATGTATACTTCGTATTTACTGTCTGTTTAAAACTCCCCAAGGAAGGATTTGCAATTATCGGCAAAACTCTAATGCAACAGATCTGAAAAATAGCTTTTGATGTTTAGTTTAAGTAAGTAAGATAGTAAGTGCTTTACTTAAAGAAAGCCATCCCTAACCTCTGTCCTGGGAAAAACCAGCAAGAAACCCAGCGGGACTATTTTATTTCCAAACAAAGCAACCCTTGCTATTATGTAAATAAGCATATCATTCCATACTATTTGATTATGAATGAGTTAACTTAGTAAAGCTAGAGAAAATAATATGTTATTTCTATGCAAAATAAATCTTTATTTTGGGCCATATGTAGAGTGTTTTATATTGAGAGTTTTCTGCCTTATGAATATCGGTCTCCATTCATTATTTTCACTCAATTCCAAATATTTGGAAAATCCAAAAGTGCACACCTCGAACACTCATGTAATGTTTTCAATAATCAATTTACTTTAATTACCGAAACACGTATTTCGTTTAAATCTACAAAAAAAAATTTCTATTTAACACGAATTCAGTGATTCGTATTTTGTTACCGAAAAAAATGTCAATTTACAATAGTGAAATTCAAAAGGCAAAAGCTAATGTAAAAAAATAAAAGTGATAAGTTCAGTTTTTCGAAAGATATCTTGTTCAAATCTCTACCAAGCAACTGATGTCCAAGTGAAATTATTTTCAATTAACTTTTTTGATGAATGATCATCGAAATAAATAATCTTATAACAACATCAGAAGTATTAATTGATTGGTGTACTTTTTTTACTGTATAAGTAGATATAAAGCTGGTGGAAGTGATTTGAGTGGATCGCGATTGTTTAATTTAGTGACAATAGAGCACTACATCTCCAGTTAGCGTTCAAAATAGTATGCTTGTAGATATTTCTAAAATAATAATTTTTTTATCAACAGAACCATCCAATGGAGTTCCAATTATACTTGAAATATTGTCGACGGCTCCGTTTCGAGGAGAGACCAGATTACAGCCACCTACGTCAGTTGTTCCGCACTCTGTTTCATCGACAAGGATTTACATATGACTATGTATTTGATTGGAATATGCTCAAATTCGGTATGCATTCTAAATAAAATGAAAATAGTATTAAATTGTAATAAAATTCTTGTATCTTAGGCTTTAAATAGATTTCGTAATTCTTTTTCTTAGTGAGTCCATAAAAGTCCACTGCTAAACAATGACCACTCCCGTTCCATGGAGCATTTGCCTTCATCATCACAGCAAGCATATTGACAATGACAGTGCCAGGTGCTAGGCAGGCTAGGTTTTAACGCTGTTTCATGTCACCAATCTGAGTATTTTATGGCTGGCGTAAACGAAGTAGTTATACCAATACCTATCAGAAGCCGTAAAATGTTTCTGGCATGTTCCATAATCATCTCTTACAACACAGGACGAAATAGTGTAATGAAATCTTTTATGCCACCAGCACACTGATAATTTAATATTGTTATCAATAAGCTTTTATTAAATAGGCTTGTTCATCCACAACAATTAAGTTAGCACTAACTTAATTGTTGTAGATGAACACATCGATTTAGTTAGCGACTGCTTAAGATTTTTTTTTTATTAAAAAATATAGTACTACCTGTTTGTAATGTATTACTCTGTATTGCCGAAGGCCCACGGAGCAACTATTTGGCTAGTAATGACCGTACACTCAGACGTCATGAGCAAAATCAGGAACCAGAAACCAGTAAGTAACACAATTTTTGTACTTTTTATAGACTTGCAGTGAATAGTATATTCGGCCAAACGCCGAATACCGAATATTCTGCGCGCTTCCTGGCCGAATAGCTGAATGTTAGGCTAAAGTATTCGACCGGGAAGCAAGCAGTGCTTATTCTTCAGTCGTAAACTACTGCTAAAAATTAAGAAAAATAAGTCTTTCTGCACCATTATCTTCCACTTTAATCCTTAAATCCCCATAAAAATCCCATGCAAGTCACATGCGACCGCAGTACCCACAGCACTTTAAACTATTAAAACTTATATTTAGAGACTACTTTTCTATGAAGAAGTTTGGCATTATAAAATCTATACAAAATTCTCTATCCTGTGGTCTAAACTCTAAACAAAAGTCAGGTTTTACTTCATTACAAAAGATTTTATTGTATTTTGATAACAAAAATAATACATACCAAGCGGATGTCGACAACGTGAAAATAACAATTATTTCTTTATATATTACTCAAATTCATTTGTGTAAAGAGATAAATTATATTCACACAAAAATAAAACACTACTAAAACACTAGAAAAATCAAAAAATTAACACAATAACATTTACACGAAAATGGAGTACGATATGAATGTAGATTATAAATAAATATCCATAAACTAAGTCACTTTTTGATTTTTTTTCCTAGGATTTCCCTAGGATAGAAAATTTCAAATTGATTCTATAATGCCAAACTTTTTCATAGAAAAGTAGTCTCTAAACATAAGTATTGATGGGTTAAAATGCTGTGGGTGGGTGCGGTCACATTTGACTACTGAACTGAAATTTTATTATTTAAAGCTAAAAGTATTGCGATGAGTATTAATTCATTTTCCATAACAAAGACGTGTGCCTGAGCTGAGAAACACAGCATTATGGATGTGTGGTGCGAGCCTAAGACTTATGAAGATCTTTTTTGTCAAAAATTATAGTTTTAAAAATAAATTTACTTAGTTGAATACAGATAAATATATTTTTTTTGCAATATAGTGCTCTTTGCATAGTATTATTTTAAAATGTTATCATTTTCCTAATAATAGTTGGCAATTGTTGTTCAGGCAAAAATAGCGTAAGACTAGTCTTGGTGCTTTGCGTTACTTGCAGGATTAAAAATATATGTGATATATTATCAATTTCAGCAGCGGGCGCGGCCGGACAACCGAGCACCACAGTGGCCGCCATATCAGAATGGCGGTGAGGGAGATCTCCATCTCCACCGCGTTAACATCACCACAGCCAATTTTGTATTGTGACCTGCAGTCTAGAGCAAACAAACCATAGACTCCAGTTACTCAGGTATTATCGTCGTGCTATTGACGATTTCAACATGCCACCAGTAATAATCGGACGGCAGAAACAATGCCCGATATTAGTGCAAAAATGAAAGAGGGGAAAATTTTGTATGCATTCAAACTAATATTCATATATTGTAAATTATTTAATTTTAGACTATATGATGAATGGGCCGAACTAATAAAACAATGTGTCGTTTTCAAATGTGACCCATTTAAGCATAGCTGTTAATTAGGCCTATCCATGCATCTATTGTACTTTATGCTCAGTTATAATTTAGATGTAAGGTACATGTGAAGTGCGTTGGCAATGATTAGAAAGTTATATTGTCAATTTGTTCCGAATGAGCTTTGTTCTATGATATGAAGCACAGTTCTGATTTAAATATAGTAAATGAATTTTGACAAATGACATAGATATGCATTTACCTGATTCACATTGGATTGTGTAGCGGCAATGTGAGTGTCAGAAGTGTTTATTTTAATATTTTTGACGATTAAAGCCAAAACTTTATTATGTTACACTGGCCGAAATGTTACAATAAAGGTTTTAATTGTAATGGATTGTGCAATTGTATATTTATAATGAATATTAATTCCTAAACATCATAATATTAACATAATGGAAAAGTAAGTTTTCTTTATCTTTTTAACTAAAACATTTAATTTAATTTTTTATGACCCAAAGTTTGTCTTCCATATTTAATTTATACCGAAGCACCGCTAGAACATAGTGATGACAAAGTTTGAAGTGGATGCGGTTTGAGCTGCAATATTGATAGATATCTTAGTTGAGCACTGCCATGGTTTAATAAGATTTTCTTTATGATAAATATCAAATTTCCGTTTTGTTTTTGATGTTAGCCAATTTGCTTTTATAGCTCCATCAAGCTCAGGGCTTGGTGTAATTATTATACCACAAATACAAAATACTTGACTTAATAAGATTCACTAAAATTCTTTCGTTCTGAATGGAAGACTAATGAGTTTTATTAGAAGTATCTTAATATTATTAGGACACACATTCCTAAAATAATTTAACTTTTGTCTTCTTAACAATAATTTGTGATCTCGTATTGATTACCAAAATCTTCACATTTTAAATACACACTGACGATTTTAGTATGTGAACAAATTAATTTGATTACATTTTGTTAAAAAAATGATTTCGTTAATTACTAAAAAAAGAAATATGAAAAAATACTAATGCATGTATATATTATCAAAGCTGTATGGTATTTAATTATATAAAATAATTGTCACATTAAACATATGTTTAATAAATATATTACAAATTAACCATTTGAAACCAGAATAAGACCATCCATCTCTAATATGACTGAGAATTAGGTTCAATTCTATGTAAATATATTTAATTAGTTGTTTTAAAGGACTATATTGCAAAGCTAAAGGATTCCAAGTTATCCTGATGATGATATTTGTTAAGGTTTATCTTTTATACAAATTTAGTTAATTTTGACTTAAGGAAGGACACATGTGTTATAATTAAAACCTATTAATTCAAATAATAATTAATGGTTAAAGTTTGGTTTATTTACATTTTTAGAGCGCATTGCTACTATTTAAAAAAAATCTGTAAATGACTTGTAATTTGAACCTGTAACTTCAAACATATCCATACAACCAAGTGTCCCAAATTATCTTTGTATATTTTAAATTTTCGAATGTTATTGATTATAACATTACTATCCAAATATATTTTAATAATATTGTTTACTAACTCTTGTGGATGTATAATGTTAATGGAGGTAAGCTTATGTGCCGAACGTTTTGAGTATAGGTGAGGTTGTTAGCCTGTCTACGCAGTGAACAAGGATGTTTTCAGAAGAGATCCTGTCAGCATGACAAGGTCATGGCTTCTTAAAGATAAGTGTCCGCTTTGACCGACGAAAGACTATGAATTTAATTTTGTATATAATAATTGTAAGTTACTTAGTTAAGCTGACACACTGTTTTTTACAATATATTAGGTGATAATTCCATAACTGTTGTAGAGTATAGTCATTATTTGGCCGTCGTTCTTTGCATACTTATTTTATTATCTCCGTTTGTGAAGCCAAACTACGTGTACAGGTATGGTGATGCTGATCAATATTAATAAACATTGAAAATTACCGAGCATATTAAAAGTTTCAAACATTTAACTCATTGTTGAAATGGAGGGAACGAATCAAATCGTTAATTATTGTAAGATAAGGGATATATAGAAAATGGTCACAGCTTCTATTGGATTTATAAATACTTGTACATTTAAGAATGTTGGGGTGTGCTTCTTCCCTCCAGATATTGAGTGAATTATCCTAACAATGTGACATAATAATATCTTACCGTGTTTTATTTACATTACGATGTGAATGTGTTTTGTTTATACAACTGTCTATGCTGGCAAATATAGCTTAGCATATAATTATGCTTCTATTATATAAATTGTTAATGCTTGCATTGTTTTCTATGTCCAGTATGTATTAATTCCTTTGGCACAATAAACCGAGTAAAACAAAAAAGGTGATTTTTATTTAGAATTAGCCTGACCAGTAAAATGTCACCATAAAAGTAAAGTTACATCCTATATATGTCCCACTGCTGGGCACAGGCCTCCCCTCATTTCTTAGAGGGTTTTAGGGCAAGGTGTCCGCCGCGCTGACCCAATGCGTGTTGGCGAACTTCACATGACTTCGACAATATTTTTTTCTTATTCCTCTGATATGCAGGTTTCCTCACGATGTATTCCTTCACCGCCGAGCACGTGGTAAATTAGCACTTAAAATTGCAATAACAATTTTATTGGGTGCCGGCTGGGATCGAACCCGGGTTGCTCGCGTACTGTAAACAGCGACCGTTAACCATCTGAGCTACCACGGCTCGCTGTCACAATGTCGCCATATTATATTTTATTTACTAGCAACAGTAATTCATAACTCAAACATAGTGATTGTTATTTCTCTTGAGTAACTCTTTGTACCATATTATTGTACTAGAGTAATAATAATAACAAAACAAAATATCTGGACCTGGCTCACGAGGTGACCGACATCTGGGGTGGTCTGCCGACCAAAAAAGTCGTCTCTGCGAATGGGCTTATCCCAGTTAGCCTCCCGACTTATCTGAGGCGACTGGGACTCCGTGACAGACCGCTCCGGGCTCAAATGCAGAAGGCGGTGCTCCTCGAAATCGTCCGCCGGTTTCTTTCCCTTAACCTCTAACCCTAGGCCATTTGGTCTCCCCTGCCGAGGGCTTCCATCTGGTTGGGATTTTATTTATTTTTGTATTTATTTTATTTTATTGATATTTATGTATATTTATCTTTTAATTTTTATTTATTACATATTTATGGACAATTATATATTTATGGAACCCAACCAAATGAGAAAACTATATAGATACCCCAAATAATAATAATGTCATTTCTTATGATAAAGGGCTTACCCTCTATCCTTAGCCAACGGGCAATGGTAAGACTTGGCAGTACAGAGCGTAATTTCCGACCGGGAGACCGTATGGAAGGAGAAGGAACTCCACAGGAGTTTCTACAAGGCTCTACCATGAGCCTTCCGTAGACACAGTTGCCTCCCTCCACTGGCTATGTTTTGGCGACCTCTTTGGGAAAACCGAGAGCTTTGTACGATACAGAATCAGGTTATTAACCGATTCAGTGCGGATGGCACGCCTGGAGTTGTTTTTCTGTGTGGCGTATGACACGCGAGTGGTTTCATTTTAAAAATCGTTATAACTCGCTCAAATGTGTTTTTGGTAGATTTATCTAGAACAAATTATTCATTAATTTGTAAGTAGTTCATGCCTACAGCTTCGTTTCTAGATATTTTAAGAATTTGAAACTTAGGAGTTGAAAACATTTTCTCACTTGTAGATATGATAATTATGTAGAAAAATACTGTAATAAGTAACAAATAATAGCACTCATTGTGATCGCTTACAAGCTCAAGTTGTAAACAAGTTTCTGGAAAACAAGTGTTAAAAAAATTATAGGATAGGGTAACAAACGAGCACACAGTCCACCTGATTGGAAAGTGGTTGCTGTGGCCATAGACATCTACATCTATCCTCGATAACGAATCAAAATGCAGATGCGTTGTCACCCGTGAGGACTAAGATGGAATGCCTCGTTTTCATTAAAATGGGTCTCCGGTTCTCTACACTCACCATACGAAACACAACACATTAACACCGGCCAAGACGCACGCTAGGGCTACTGTACTATACAATGAGCTTGTCTTATTGTTAAATTTTGCTAAAAATGGTTGAATTGCCATCTTATTACATGTCATTATATGGCCGAATGGACATACGAAGTATCATGTGCTCTTGTGATATTATGGTATAAGGTTTATTTTTGCTTGAAACAGTTCGAACGCGTTCATGTATAAAAAAAGTTCGCTAATAAATAGTTTTTTGTTCACCCGCCACCGTACATCGCCGGCGCATCTGGCTGGTTTTTTTCCTTTTGTAAACACTCGTTTTGCTATTGTTACTAATTAGACGTTTTCAGATCGACTTTACGTTTCATAATGTTGAGCTCACTAACGATATTCGCGTGTGTACTAGACATTTGTAACTATCAATGAATCATAAACCCTATTTTTTCCGAAGTATGGTTCTTGATTTTTTAATATTTACAAACGTAATTATTAGGTGAAAATTTAATTTATTAAAAAACTAGGTTTTTCAGGGTGATTTAGCTGTACCTACTTACATAATTTTTTTTTATAAAACAAAAAATAGTACAAAAGGTTTGTAATCTCTGCATACAAAAAGTCACTCTTCATTTTTTTATAGGATAAGAGTGAAAAACGAGCACATATGGACCACAGCATTTACTTACCATCAGGTGGACTACCTGATGGTAAGTGAATGCTGTGGCCCATAGACATCTACATTTAACCTCGATTAAGAATCAAAATGCAGATGCGTTGTCACCCTTGAGCACTAAGATGGAATGCCTCGATTCCAGTAAAACGGGTCACCGGTTCTCTACACTCATCATACGAAACACAGCAGCATTAAGCTGGTATTCTGTGAGAGCGTGGTCCTTCCTCGGTCGAGCCGACCCATTCATGCTACAACAATAATATAACAGCTGCGTGGCTCTACCATGTAAAACACGTAGTTAGCCACTAAAAACAAGTATCCTTCCGTTTGCAACTGATGTTTGATGTAAACTAAACTTAATCTGGTCTAAACAAGTGAAAAAACCATAAAAAAGAACATTATTTTTATACATGGCTGATGGCACAATAGGCGTGTCGTCAACTTCTATAGCGCTTGACACGACAGGCGTGTCACGAAATATTTGTTCGCCGCCACAGCTGAAAGTTGTCATAAATTGGTGTCGCAACGAATCGGTTAAGACCAACAACTAACGGAGATATATCCCAAGGGATGACACCGTCGACGTCTGTCGAGCTTGTCGCCATCCCGGTGAGTCACTTAGGCGTGTCATCTCCGGTTGTTCGGCGCTTTTTAACTCTGAGTACTTGCACAGGCACAACCTAGCAGCCAGAATTCCACACCACGAGTCCGTTCTGAAATACGGTCTCATGGACCGAAAATTGTCTTATTTCAAGTGCTTGCCGCAAGCCATGCTCGAAAATGCCGGCGCCAGGCTCTAATGGGACCGAGCTATCATTACAGACGGGATCCTTGCGAATAAGCCTGATATTATGCTGATGACCGGGCACAGTCAAGGATATTTTTGGTCGACATTACCATTCCGTATGAGGAGAACCTCGTGATAGCCGAAAGAGACAAGCAAACAAAATATCTGAACCTGGCTCACGAGGTGAACGATATGCAGGGTGGCCTGCCGACCGTAATGATACCTGTAATAGTTTCTACGAACGGGCTAATCCCAGTCAACCTCTCGGATCATCTGAGGCGACAGGGCTATTTGAATACATATCTCATAAAATAATAATAATAACTTTATTAACGTAATTAATTACATTCCTTTCCAATAAGTTTAAAATAAGCTAATTACAAATTTTACTTTCTTTTATTTCTGTCAAGTGTGACTTTATTTCGTTATATGATATATTCAACAATATATTCATAGTATAAGCCATTGCATCAATTTTTGCTGACCTTACTTGGCCTAATAAAAAATTAGTAGAAAACTACAAGAACGTCTCATAAACTGACGTCCAATTATTGTAATTTTTAAAATAGATGATTCTTTATTTATGATCAAGTATTATTTATAAAACTAATGCATAGTGCAATAATTACAAAAGAAACTAAATACGAGAAAGTACGTATATAGTAGCAGCCACTAGCAGTTTCCACTTCGATTCAGAAACAAATGCACCACCATAGAGCTGGCAATATTACAGTATTTTTGACGGCGGAGCGATCATCTCGCAACACACAAAACAATAATAAAAAATAGTTCAAACATACCATTATATTACAGTTAACGCAAAGTTTCAATGGGGCCCTTATATATGTACCTATCTAAACAAGCTAGCAAAGTTAGTTCTGCAGCATATGCTATAAAAAAGATTAGAGACCTTACATGTATTGAAACAGCTAGATTCGTTTATTTTAGTTATTTTTTTATAGAGCATGGGTGATAAACGAGCACAGAGTCCACCTGATGGTAAGTGGTTGCAGTGGCCCATAAATTTCTACATCTATCCTATCTGCAACTAAACCATAGACATCTACATCTATCCTCGATTACTCCTTCAATCCCCATAAAATCCCATGTAGTCGCATGCGACCGCACCCAACCACAGCACTTTAAACCATTAAAACTTATATTTAGAGACTATGAAAGTCTATTCAAAATTCTCTATCCTGTGGACTGCGGTGCGGTCTAAACAAAAGTCAAGTTTTACTTCATTACAAAAAGACTTTTTTGTATTTTGATAACAAAAAACGGGTACATACCAAGCGGATGTCGGCAGCGTGAAAATCACTATTATTTCTATATATTACTTGAAATTATTTACGTAAAAAATAAATTATATCACATAAAAACTTTCAAACCAATTTTATAATAAAACATTATACTAAAAACACTAGAAAAATCCAAAAATCAACACAACAAAACACAATAACATCCACACGAAGATGGCGTACGTAATGAATGTAGATTATAAATAAATAACTATAGAGTAACTGAGTTTTTATTGCACTAGAGGATAGAAAATTTCATATTGAGCCTATAATGCCGAAGTTCTTAATAGAAAAGTAGTCTTAGAGAGTATTTCTACTTCTATTAGAGACTATAAGTATTTATGAGTTAAAGTGCTGTAGGTGGGTGAGGCCGAATTCGGTCACTTGGTATTTGACGGATTATCGCAGCGACCGAATTCGGCCGCTTAGTAGCTAAGAGGTTACAAATCAAAATGCAAATGCGTTGTCACCCGTCAGGACTAAGCTGGAATGCCTCCTTTGCAGTAAAAAGAGTCTCCGGTTCTATACACTCACTATACGAAACACAGCAGTATTAAGCTGCTATTTTACGCTGGTATTATGTGAGAGCGTGGTCCTTTCCCAGTCGAGCCGACCCATTCGTGCTACAACTATAATATAGCTGCAGCGTGGCTCTACCAGGAAAAATATTATTCATTTCATATCATAATGTTAATAACGGAATCTTGTTATAGGGTAATGCGACTGACATTGAAACTATCTTTGTTTTGCAGAAGAGAGCTATAATAGAAATTTATAATCTAGGTCCGAAAGAATCTCTTAGGGAAAAATTAAAAGAAATAAATAGATTTATTAACTTTGACTTACCAATGAATTTAGGAAAATTTAATGTATATACACAATAACAAAAATTGTTTTATTAAAAATAGTGATGTACATTCTGTAAATACTAGGAACAAGCACAAGTTAGTTATACCAGTATCAGTACTCGACTCTAAATCCAAAGAGTCATTAATTCATTGCATGGGGCAGTGCATACCTACGCTTTTACAAGTCCCAGAAAATGTGCAGACCTTATCTATCAAAAGGTTTAAAATAAAACTTGTTTAGTAAGGGTTATTATACTACTAAAGAGTACATGATAAGCCCTGGGAATGGGGTGGTCGCTTTTTCTAAATGTTTTCGTAACAATTGTATAAAATATTGTATTGACAGAGGTTTTTTTTCTGAACCCATGGTAAAAGTAAAAACTATCTTGCAATAAGTATTACATATAATCTATATTGAATAAAAAATGGTACTATTCTATTCCGTTTTTCTGTTAAACTGGTTCAAATAGAATTTACACTGTCAAATCAAAATTTTTGTAGGACATATAATTTGAATAAAGTTCAAAAACGGCGTCTTTATTGCAGTGTTTTTATTTATCGGATTTTATGCTATATTCAATAAATTTGTTTATATCATGTTGCAAGAAATCCTCCATCAATTGGCATTTGGGCTCCATTTATCATGCTTGCTTTGTCACTCAGCAGGAATATTACTGCGTCTACGACTTCTTGCACCTCACAAAACCTGAAAAATAGTTGACAAATAACACAATATTACCTACTTATAATTTATTTGATCTCGTATACATTTTGATCACATAGGTGTTATACTGGTTGGAGTAGAGGAGTGAGTATTGGCTGGTTGACTATTTTGTAACTTATCGCGTTAATTGTGAGAAAGCCTATATCATTGCAAATAAATAAAATTTTAGCATCTGTTTGTGATATCAAAATAAGAGCTTTTACTAAATATAAGTAAATGAAAGTATATAGGTTATTTATAAACAAAACACAATTTTAAAAATTTTTGTCTGTCTGTTTGTTCCGGTTAATCTCCGAAATGTCTGGACCGAATTTAAAGGGACTTTCACTGGCATATAGATGATGTTAAAAGGAGTACACTTAGGCTACTTTTTATTTTAGAAAAATAATTAGAAGTTCGCATAAAACCAATGTAATTCAATCGTAGTAAATTCCACGCGAACGAAGTCGCGGGAAACAGTTAGCTTAAAATAAATTCGAATTTGGAATTCCTAACCAAACGCTATATTTGAGATCAGTGGCCAGTTTGACTAAAAGCTAATTTCATAAGGATCTAATCCTGATACCTTATTCCGGTTATTGCTTAGGTATGCACCAACCGATGAGCAAAAATGAACACACTAATGTTTTTGTTTGTTTCTTTTTTGTTCTAGGTTGTAATTCATCCACCAAAGAACATGTTCTCACGTACACTTTTAGACTCTAAAGTCATTTGCAAATATCAATATCAATCACCGTGTAGTGGCAGTATATGGATATCCACTACCCGATATCATCCCGTGGGTGACTTAAGAGACGATAGAAGGAAACCCATCAGTAGATGGCCAGCAGCGTCTTCCTAATAACGACTAAAAATAAAAAACTGCGATTGCCAACCCGCTTGCCAATAGTGGCAACTCTGGCAAATATCACCCCTATGAGGCAGTCTATGAAGGAAGGCCTATGTTCAGCAGTGTAGCTGCAGCAGTAACGGTAAAGAAAAAAAGAAGAATTAAAAAAAACATCGGTATTGATAAATACCTGCCGAGCGGAATTTTCGATTTCATTTCTTGCGCTTTATTGGGATCGGCCCACACCTCACGACCTAAATCGGTCAAAACGACTGTAGGGTTCACCGTATTGGTACGTATACCGTATGGTCCAAGTTCTACAGCCATCACTCGAGTCATTGCATCTACGGCGCCTTTAGATGCGCAATAGGCAACATGATCCTTAAATCCTGCCTAAATTTTTTATCAATTAAGGTTAATAGAATTTATTTTTTGTTATTTAATTAGGGTTTTTGAATTTAAAAAAAAAAATAGAACATTATATTTAAAATTAGAAACGTGTGGTTGCGGTATAGGAATACATCAACCCTTTCGTAGCGTGTTAGTCATAAGAGCCGACTTGAAATATGTCAAAAAAATCTTATGGTTTCCGAACGCCTCACAGCAATGAGTATACGAGTACTCCTCATAAAAAAAGTATTTTCTATCCTATATAAAGATGAAAAATAAAAACACGCTGGTTTATTATGTCTGTTCTGAAATAGAACCCAGTATACTGGCCAATGCAATAGACGTCATAAATAGACGCCATACTGGTGATTTGTTTCAATCATTGGCCAGTATATGACATCATATTCATCATATTTTATTATAAAAGTATATGATGCGATTATTTTATATCATTTTGTGCTCCAAAGTTGTAATATCCTGTTTCAATTAATTTGTAAAGAATGGAGATACCAGCAATTATGTTAGTGAGCCGTGTTGCTATTGCAATTCATTTTGATTCATCCGATAGTGACACTGATGGCTGTTAAAAATTGTTTTAATATGGCGGGATATCCAACGCAATATGTCGGCGACACACCCGTACAATATGAATTAATGACGTCATTTGCATTCGCCACGTAGACAGAGAAACCTATAGACTAATGATTAGCGTGGCCTCGAGTGAGAAAGGACGATAACGTAGTTTTAGGTTATACAGTAATCTTTATGACTTAAACATATTTAGATAAAAATTTTAATTGTTCTAAGAACTGAACTGAACAAGATTCACCAAACTTAAGCTCATATAACACTTTTTTTTTCTCAATTAAACCAACTTGTAAACTCCTTAGATCGCTACGAACTGTCAAAGTTGCTTAGCAAAGTGTAGTTTGCTAAACAAAAAAACCGGCACGAAAAGGGACAAGCTCATTTCCGGCGTCTCATTTCTATGCAAGACGTATGCATAAATTAATCTTTTTGTGTGCGAATGCGAAAGAAGGCGTCAATTTGTCTATAGGTATAGGTTCTCTGTCTACGATTCGCCAGTATACTTGGTTCTATTTCGGGACACAGACATAATTAGTAGGGATACAGATTAAATACAAATGAGTATATAAAAATTAGGTAGGATATTCTTACGCCGAAAAATAATTTTAATTTTATAATTAGATAATATTAAATTTGCCAGTAGGTACACATAAATTTTATAAATAATTTATTGATTCATTATGCAAATACTTTGTTCTAAGAGCACCTACCTTAGATGCCTGCGAAGATATATTTACGATAGAGCCTTTTATGTTATTATCAATCATTTTTTAGCAACGACTTGTGATATGTTGAGAATTGCTTTTGCATTAATTGTTATAGATCTGCAAGGAAAAGAAACTTTTATGTTTTACTCTGTAACATTTATGTATAAATAAATATAATTACTGCGTGTTAAGTAAAATGTTTAAAAATTTATCGCAACACAATGAACATCAGGCCGGACTATGACCGTATGCGTTGAGTCCGTGACAGCAGGCGGATAGAAGAAGTCTTCCAACGACTTTTCTCTTTAAACAGGGCCTACAATAGCAGTAAGGCTCTTCTGTGTTTCTTAAGGCAATTGACGAAAACCAAGGTTAGAAAGTCACGTCTTAGAAGCTCCATATAAGTCTTGGAACTCATTTCCCCTTTTCTTACTTCTTAAACCAAAAATATAACTAATGTAATATTATTTATTTTTTATAAATATTTTGGTAAATTTATTATTGAATTAAAAAAGTTAAAGCATAAACATTAATTTCGCTGTAAAACACAAACGCCAAAGTGCACAGAAAAAATAGCTTTGAAACATAACTAATTTTTCTGGCCTCGGCCGTCGAGAATTGTTAACTATGACGTGAATTACTGGATAAAAACTTCAAAAGTATTCACAGAATGATTCCATCCCAGGCGTAAAATAAACAAATCAGCGAAGAGAAGCAGAATCAAAGGTGCGACTTTGAAAGACGCGTGAGGACTTTTGGTACTTAATGTCAATCCCAACAGTGGGAGTGGCTCATGTCCAGCCGTGGCAGTTATGAGGCGATGAAGAAGAAAAATGGTTAGCAACATAAGTACACTGTAGTTAACAACAAAACTATGATATTTATTCAGTTCCTAGAGGCTTAAAAACATTAAAATCGCTAAGAAATTATCTTCCTTTTATACTCTTTAGGGTGGAAATCTTTAACTTTTTTTATAGAATAAGGATGGCAAAAAAGCAAACAGTCCACCTGATGGTAAGTGAATGTAGTAGCCCATAGTCATTTACATTTATCCTCGATTAAGAATCAAAACGCAGATGCGTTCTCACCCAGGAGGAGTCCTCAGGAGGACCAAGATGGAATGCCTCGTTTCCAATAAAAAGGTATCTCCGGGCATCCGGATCTCTTCACCCACCATACGAAACACAACAGTATTGAGCTGCTATTTTAGGCTGTTATTCTGTGAGAGCGTGGTCCTTCCGCGGTCGAGCCGACCCATTCGTGCTACAACTATAATACAGCTACAGCGTGGCTCTACCACGTACAGTTACTAACTAGTAGGTTTTCAAATACTTTCACTAGGAAGAGTCATGCCTTCACATCACGTCATGGCGGTCGTGATTTGACAGCTCGTGTAAACGTTTGTGTTTTATAAAATGGCTCCTGCACTTCTTCTTTTGGCTGAAGCCAAAGTTATATAGACTTTACGGCTGTCACGGTAACGGAAAAGGAATGCAGGTGGGTAAGCAGCATTCCAACGATTCGTCGACGTGTATATCCATATAAAATTAACAACTACTTACTCGTCGAAAGTTGTCGGCTTACATTCTAAAAAGGGCTCCATAAGACCTACTCCCGCGCAATTAACTAGTCCGTGGAAAACTCCTAATGAATCGACAACTCTGCGTGTTTTATCCCAGTCGCGAACATCGACGCAAGCAATATCTATCGATGGATACTCGCTCCTAAGTTTTTCAAGATTCTTGGCCTGATGAGATAGCGCAACCACATCGGCGCCAAGTTTCCATAGTTCTAATACAACTCCTCTGCCAATTCCTGCAATTCATTTAAAAATTCAATTCATCAAATTCATTTAATCATAAAGCAAGGAATTGTATTTCAAGCCTATCCTTGATTTATAATTCTTTGCTGCACTAAAACATTGATAATAAGGGTGACAAGCAGGTCGGACTCGCACCGGCAAATGAGGCAACGGCCTAGGGCGCTCGAATTTCGGAGGCAGCATAGCAAGAACTCTCAAAGTGTCAGAGCATCAAGGAAGCGTGTGATGAACACAATCCACAATTCAATATTATCCGCAATTTAATATTAGTAATGACAAAATGAGCCGACCCCAATATGTACCTAAATACATACTGCTTTAAGTTGAATATTGCTGCTGGCTAGTTCAGATAATAGTAACAACCAAAGTTCCAGGATATATACCTAAAATATGCATTTTTCTTATGTGGTTCGATGTTGGGCACTTTTCAATAGAAGCGTTGGACGTTATCTGTCAATCGATGTCTTACTATCGATCCATTATTTGCTATGCAGACGACGCAATGAACCCCTATCTTCAGTTCGAAAGTTTCGATAGGACCTAGAAACTCGTTGAACTTGGCCAGAAGTTCTTATTGCCGAAATCCATTAGTTAAGATTGAGACAGAAACACTATAGCTTCACTAATTTCCACGAGTCAGGAAGCCATTTGCCTTTTGCGTCCGTATGGTGGGGTATGTATGAAGTCAATGTAGAGTGTAGACGATAGGTACATAAAATACTTAGGCCACCTAGATAATTAAGGCTTCAAAACCAATAAAATATTAATTAATTAGCAACCTTCCGCTAACTAAATACAATGATGTGTCTCACCTGGATTGAAGAGCGCCTGCCGCCCTCCCTCAATTGCATGCACTAACTCCGTCACCACTAGTCCCAGCACCACTACTCCCAACACCACTACTCCCGGCCCCACCACTATTCAAGGTAAGACACACCATCGACGATAATACGACTCGTGTTTCGCCTCTACACGAGGCATCCTCAGGCGATGTAGACTCTACGGCGGCTGACCGCTAAGACTTACTGACTTACGTATTTAGTTAGCGGAAGGTTGCAAATTAATTAATATTTTTACTATAATGGATTTCTGCGAAGTAACGCCCGATTCTATCAATTAGCTTCAAAAACACTTCACGCCCTTCAGATCAAAAATGTGTAAATGTCAGATGTAGGGTATAAAATTACAGCCTAATACTTCCCACTGCTGGGCACAGGCCTCCTATCATTTCTGAGAGTTTTAGGGCAAGGAAGTGTCCGCCGCGCTGCCCCAATGTGTGTTGGAGAACTTCACATGTCCTCGGAATATTAGTTTTTTCTTATTTCTCAGACATGCCGGTTTCTTCACGATGTTTCCCTTCACCGCCGAGCACGTGGTAAATCAGCACTTAAAAGCTGTGGTAGCTCAAACCATCTGGTTAGCGCTCTCTGTAAATTTCGCAGTACGCCAGTAACCCGTTCGATCCCCGCCGGCACTAATGAAATTGTAAATTGCAATATTAAGGTGTAGGGTATAATTTGTAATATTACACTTAGCTATCAAAAATCATAGGTAATAAGTTGGGTGGGTGGACCATGGAAGGCCATGCTCCTTCGAAGGCCAATTATTAAGACGAGGCATGACCCTAAATGCAAGTTTTATAATGCCTCAAAGTAAATGATCCACTGCAGTAAACAAACCCAGAAAAATGTATGATATTTTCCAGGATATATCCTAGTTAGATAGTGTGTTGAAAACATGATACTACTAATTTAATACGATAGAAAAAAATCACAAACATACCTCCAAAAATTTCTTTTAACTAGTAAAAACCATACTAGTATACATTCAATCATTCTGATTTTTTGTCAGATTTTTATACATTGAACATATTATCGTTATAGTGTTTCAATTTTTTAGTCCAACTAATAGTTTTTTTTTAAAATCACATATTCTTATTTCTGAAATAATACGTACGGATGTTTGCGTAAACGCCTGTGCAGTCACTGCCGGCCGAGGCCTGGTGCTGTAGAGACGTGTCGCTCTTTTTTGCCGCAGTATTTACGTTAAGATTTTTTAAGGACGCATTTACAAAATTGATATAGGTATAGAATCGAACTATTACATTGACATGAGTCACGCACACAAGTGTACGCACGGTTGGCTGCGGGAATCGTAGTCAAATAAAATTATTTTAATAATTTGAAAGATCAAATTTGTTTTTGATTTCTTACACCACAAAAATATACTTAGATACATAGAGTAATAAGACTTAGTTACGAGGTACGAATACCTACTATAGAGACTGCTTTGCACTGGGAGTCCTCTGCTGGCACTGAGAAGTTAGCTGTGGACTTTGGGCTGATTTTGTCAGTTATGATAAGACCTTACCTCCGGACTTGATGGAGTGACCTGAAAGTGAACTTCAGTAACTAATACTGGAACACCTGGACTAGTAGAACTAGGTGTGCCGACTTTGGGCTCGTTTTATTAGGTATGACGAGCCCTTACCTCCGGACTTGACGGAGTGACCTGAAGGTGTACTTTAGTAATCGGTATTGGAGCAGGTCGCCGAGTAGGTATTACTAGGTGTGCCGAGTTTGGACTCGTTTTGTTAGGTATGACGAGCCCTTACCTCCGGACTTGACGGAGTGACCTGAAGGTGTACTTTAGTAATCGGTATTGGAGCAGGTCGCCGAGTAGGTATTACTAGGTGTGCCGAGTTTGGGCTCGTTTTGTTAGGTATGACGAGCCCTTACCTCCGGACTTGACGGAGTGACCTGAAGGTGTACTTTGGTAATCGCTATTGGAACTGGTCGCCGAGTACTACTAGGTGGGCCGAGTTTGGGCTCGTTTTGTTAGGTATGACGAGTCCTTACCTCCGGACTTGATGGAGTGACCTGAAGGTGTACTTTGGTAATCGGTATTGGAACAGGTCGCCGAGCACTACTAGGTGGGCTGAGTTTGGGCTCGTTTTCTTAAGTATGACGAGCTCTTACCTCCGGACTTGACGGAGTGACCTGAAGGTGTACTTTGGTAATCGGCATTGGAACAGGTCGCCGAGTACTACTAGGTGTGCCGAGTTTGGGCTCGTTTTGTTAAGTATGACGAGCTCTTACACTACGGACTTGACGGAGTGACCTGAAGGTGTACTTTGGTAATCGGCATTGGAACAGGTCGCCGAGTACTACTAGATGTGCCGAGTTTGGGCTCGTTTTGTTAGGTATGACGAGCCCTTACCTCCGGACTTGACGGAGTGACCTTAAGGTGTACTTTGGTAATCGCTATTGGAACTGGTCGCCGAGTACTACTAGGTGGGCCCAGTTTGGGCTCGTTTTGTTAGGTATGACGAGCCCTTACCTCCGGACTTGATGGAGTGACCTGAAGGTGTACTTTGGTAATCGGTATTGGAACAGGTCGCCGAGTACTACTAGGTGGGCCGAGTTTGGGCTCGTTTTGTTATGTATGACGAGCTCTTACCTCCGGACTTGACGGAGTGACCTGAAGGTGTACTTTGGTAATCGGCATTGGAACAGGTCGCCGAGTACTACTAGGTATGCCGAGTTTGGGCTCGTTTTATTAGGTATGACGAGCCCTTACCTCCGGAATTGACGGAGTGACCTGAAGGTGTACTTTGGTAATCGGTATTGGAACAGGTCGCCGAGTACTACTAGGTGTGCCGAGTTTGGGCTCGTTTTGTTAGGTATGACGAGCCCTTACCTCCGGACTTGATGGAGTGACCTGAAGGTGTACTTTGGTAATCGGCATTGGAACAGGTCGCCGAGTACTATTAGGTGTGTCGAGGTTGGGCTCGTTTTGTTAGGTATGACGAGCCCTTACTCTACTCTACTACTAGTACTAGTACTAGTACTCGTACTAGTACTCGGCGACCTGTTCCAATGCCGATTACCAAAGTACACCTTCAGGTCACTCCGTCAAGTCCGGAGGTAAGGGCTCGTCATACCTAACAAAACGAGCCCAAACTCGGCCCACCTAGTGGTACTCGGCGACCTGTTCCAATGCCGATTACCAAAGTACACCTTCAGGTCACTCCGTCAAGTCCGGAGGTAAGGGCTCGTCATACCTAACAAAACGAGACCAAACTCGGCACACCTAGTAGTACTCGGCGACCTGTTCCAATGCCGATTACCAAAGTACACCTTCAGGTCACTCCGTCAAGTCCGGAGGTAAGGGCTCGTCATACCTAACAAACGAGCCCAAACTCGGCCCACCTAGTGGTACTCGGCGACCTGTTCCAATGCCGATTACCAAAGTACACCTTCAGGTCACTCCGTCAAGTCCGGAGGTAAGGGCTCGTCATACCTAACAAAACGAGCACAAACTCGGCACACCTGGTAGTACTCGGCGACCTGTTCCAATGCCGATTAATAGAGTACACCTTCAGGTCACTCCATCAAGTCCGGAGGTAAGGGCTCGTCATACCTAACAAAACGAGATCAAACTCAACACAACTAGTAGTACTTAGCGACCAGTTCCAATACCGATTACCAAAGTACACCTTCAGGTCACTCCATCAAGTCCGGAGGTAAGGACTCATCATACCTAACAAAACGAGCCCAACCTCGGCACACCTAGTAGTACTTAGCGACCTGTTCCAATGCCGATTGCCAAAGTACACCTTCAGGTCACTCCATCAAGTCCGGAGGTAAGGGCTCGTCATACCTAACAAAACGAGACCAAACTCGGCACACCTAGTAGTATTTAGCAACCTGTTCCAATGCCGATTGCCAAAGTACACCTTCAGGTCACTCCATCAAGTCCGAAGGTAAGGGCTCGTCATACCTAATAAAACGAGACCAAACTCGGCACACCTAGTAGTACTCGGCGACCTGTTCCAATACCGATTACCAAAGTACACCTTCAGGTCACTCCGTCAAGTCCGGAGGTAAGGGCTCGTCATACCTAACAAAACGAGCACAAACTTGGCACACCTGGTAGTACTCGGCGACCTGTTCCAATGCCGATTAATAGAGTACACCTTCAGGTCACTCCATCAAGTCCGGAGGTAAGGGCTCGTCATACCTAACAAAACGAGATCAAACTCGACACAACTAGTAGTACTTAGCGACCAGTTCCAATACCGATTACCAAAGTACACCTTCAGGTCACTCCATCAAGTCCGGAGGTAAGGGCTCGTCATACCTAACAAAACGAGACCAAACTCGGCACACCTAGTAGTATTTAGCAACCTGTTCCAATGCCGATTGCCAAAGTACACCTTCAGGTCACTCCATCAAGTCCGAAGGTAAGGGCTCGTCATACCTAATAAAACGAGACCAAACTCGGCACACCTAGTAGTACTCGGCGACCTGTTCCAATACCGATTACCAAAGTACACCTTCAGGTCACTCCATCAATTCCGGAGGTAAGGTAATAGAAAACAGTAAAATAAATTTGAATTTTCTAATGGTTTTATTTGAAACTATTCTTTTTCTCTTATTTTAGCTATTTTGCAAACGAAGCTTGGTTTTTTTTAGAATTTGTGAGGTGGCGTTTTAAATGTTTATGTATGTAAATAGTAGACTAAGTACCTACCTGCTCATATCATAAAACTGACTTTAAAAAAATATTGATAATTAAAATGTAGTTGATGTCCAGACTAACTATATTGTAAACAGTTTTGATTTTAGTGAGTAGGTTCTCAAAATATGATTACTAATACCTAGTGGTGTTGAGAACAGTAAACCTCACGGAAAAGTTTTTGTTTGGAGGTGAATTGTCTGCTTGCTTTGCGCATACTGTGTTCACGCGGCGCTCTCCGACAGCCGGTTGCGCTCCGCCCACTGCGGGACGCGCGGGTGAAAAACGAATTTGAAATCGTGCTAAGAGCTCGTCTTAAAATATCGTAGTTATTGCCATGTGATGACAAATTCCTTCTACTTACACAAACACCCATCGAACTGAAAATAATAGACGCGGCGGCAAATCGCTCGCGCTTCTATTTTGGCAGTACGTTCCCTCGCTACATTGATTTCGGGAATTGGTGGGTGTACCATGGAAGGCCACTCTAACAATAAACAGTTATTATTCGTTTATTTACTGGATAAATTAAACTAACAAATATTCAAGTAATACTTTGTTTTATTACCTACGTAACATACATATAGCGGCTTTCTAAATTTCACCATAGGCTCGATTTTGCTATTATACCTACTCCTTCTTGGTTATTTTTTGTTTTATAATGTATTTTAATATCACTTTTAAAATGAGATCAATGCAAATTAATCGTACGCTTTTCACCAGCGCCGGATTAAGTAAGCGCGGGGCCTGTAGCAATTTCTATCGAGGGGCCCTTGATCTGCAAAGGATTCGAAAGTATGAAGTGGTAAAAAACAATTAAATACTCAATATGTTTATTTAGCATCTATAGGCTACAATTTTGTTGGTTACAGTAGATTACTATAGGCCCTGTTAGACTCTGACAAGTACAAAAAGTCAGAAATGAGATTTTTCTTTCAATTTAGAATGATTTTGATAAGAATCTAATAATCTGAAACAGAAGATACTACAAAAATAATTGTAAATCTTTTTAGTATGTACATATTTCGAAGTTTATATTTATTACAAAGTATATTATATTTTAAGAATAGCTAATGTTATATTTTATTAATGGTGTACTGAAATCGAGGAGTTACGACCAAGGATTTCTTTTTTACGGTAAACGCTTTTGGGGGTAAACTGGACTAGATTTAGTCGCCCCCAATCCGAGACTGTTCAACCTTCAGACACAAATTCCGGCACTCGACGACGTATTTCCGAGAAATATTAGCACGGTCGGCGTCAGCGTATGTCGTCTACATAACAATGAATGTTACTAGCATGCAACGTATCATTGATATGCAGAAGTAACAGGATAGGCAATAGCACGCAGTCTTGTGGAACACCAGCATTCCCAGGCTTGGAGTCGGAGCATGCACCATCGACTGCGACCTTAATACACCCATCTATAAGAAAACTGGTGACCCAATAGCATAATTTTTCGGAAAGCCCATAAGAGGGAAGCTTTAAATGAAGCGAAACCCTAAGTACTTCGCTATGTCTAAACTAACCGACCGCCTCCGCCCATCGGTGAATCTGGTAGACAAGAAGATCGCTGGCTGAGCGACCTCGACGGAAATCGTGGTGGCGGTCACACATCAACTGATGCTCTTCAAGGTGCCGCATGAGCTAGCAGTTAATAATGGATGCTATTTTAATAAGGTGAAGGCCATAGGCCTGTAGTTGGATAAGTCTGAACGGTCATCTTTTTTAGGGATTGGGTGCACTAAGGCTGTCTTTTATAAGCCTGGAACGGCGCCTAAAGAGTAAGAGAAAAAGACGTGTAAGAACCGGTGTCAACTCTCAGCCCTATTGGGGGGATTCCATCAGGCCCACTCGACTTGTTGACGTCTAGACAGGACAGGAACGCTTTGCGCATCGAGCGCTGGGTAAACAGCGCATCCGGCATTGCGCACTCACATCGCGAGATGGTCGGAGGTGTTCCCCCCGTCATCGAGAGTAGATTTGGATGCAAAAAGAGAATCTAAAAGATCGGCTTTTTCCTTTAGGACGTGGGCCAGCGAGTTATATTCCTTGCGCAAAGGTGGTAATGATGGCTTACAGAAATTCCCTTGGGCAGCCTTGGCGAGAGATCAGAACGCACGAATTCCCGAAAGAAGGCGAACTAGTTACTCGCCAATTCTCTCCCAAGGTGCCCCGACTTTGGCCTAGCGATTATTCTTTTAAAGGTACCTGTCGGGAGAGTTGTACTTCCTTTTGAGTGCGCTAGTGTTTGTATCCCGGGGCAGCGAAGCGTCAGCTCAGGCCTTGTAAGACTCCTGCTTTTGACGCGACGCAATTTTGCAGGAGCGTCCAAACCAATGCTGGGATCTACCGCCGATAGTCGTTACAGATGATGGGACGGGATGAAAAGTTCCATCATCGGCGATAAACTCAGCAACGATTTTTTTGGGATCATCCAGCGTGAAGCAAATACGTTTATGCGAAAAAAGAGCCTGCATCCAATCCCAATCCGCTGACCTATAGTGTCACACACGGCGGTAGCCTCCCGATCGGGCGCTGTACTCCGGTATATCCGGACAGTGATTCTAAGAGCCAAGAGGGACTTTGACGAACACCTGATAGCCGTCCAGATGAAAGGTCAGCGGAAAGTTCAACAGAGAAGGTGTATAATACTTCATAACTGGAATCGGCGTGGGCGAAGTGATCAGTTGTATCAGAAATAAATATTCCCGCATGATCGGTAGCACGAGAACTGACTCATTCGGCGTGGTGGACGTTGAAACCTAAACGTTAACCATATGAAATTCTGTTTTATTTTCGCCAACGAAATAATCGGTTATCGATTGTCTTAGATGGAAAAGGTGCAATGTCTTTCACGGTGTCACGTTTTTGTGACATCAAGTAATCCAATATACTACGTTTATATAAGTTTCTCTAAAAAAAACGCTTAGGCGGTGATGGGCAGATGGGCCTATTTGTGCGCGGGGCCCGTAGCAGTTGCTACTCTTGCCATGAGGTTAATCCGGCACTGATTTCAGCTGCAAGTGCAAGAAAAGGTGTATCGAAGAATTAAGGCTTAGACATTAGAGGACATTAAATAAATATATAATTTATATATTTATTTAATATCCTACTAGATAGTAAATTCTTGGTCCTGCGCCTAAGCTCTCTCGGACCGTGTCGGATTGCGATTTAATGATTGTGAGTGAATAAAGAGTGCACCTGTGCTTGCGCATACATTCGGACACTATAATTCTGTCCTGTGCAGATGGGCTAGTCTCCGTGAAGACTGCCAGCTGTGACAGAAATTCAGTTGGGACTACACTCAACCCAACGAGGTACAACCGACGTACTGATGATAATCGCGAGGAGTGTGTTTGATTGTAAGCTGTTATTTAAAAAAAAAGTCCCGCTGCGTTTCTTGCTGCTTCCTCCCAGGACAGAGGATTTTTTCCAAACCAGTCGTAAATTAAAAAGTGACTTTTAATAAGTATTATTTATAATCTATAATTAATAAAAAAGTTTCTGTTTCTGTCAGTTTATTCATAAATATTAACAAATCTTTATTATGTGATTCTAAACATCGACATAATCAATATAACAAAAAAGCCGAAATAATCGATATTAAAAGACGTTTTTTGTACTTTTAAATGAACACATGCACTTAACAAAGTCACTTAAAATTAGTTTACGAAACCTAAAGCTTATTTTGTGAGGTATTTGTAACTTTTATAATGTATATAGTTTTTTGTGAGGGATGCAGTAACATTATTAGTTAGAAGGTGTATTGTCGCTGCCTAAGACTGCAGTCTTGGTCGAATGCAATTGCTGAAAAAGAATCCTACCTAAGCACATTATGTATATGTAAAAATATCAATTTAAATTGTTTTTTTAGCGTTATGTTCATTTCTAACGTTTGTGTCACTAAATATCTAATAGTACCTACCTGCGTCCGTTAGTGATCATGACTATCTGTTACTATGTACCTATATACGCTCGGAGTTCCTAACCCAGTGCAAAATTATTGGCACATAAAAAAGAAGTAGACTCGGATATGTAATCCGGATTAACTTGTTCCCAGCTAGTAGGACATTATATACAATATATAAATATATACAACTGATTTAATTAACCGTAAATTATTATTTTCTTACCTGAACAACCCCCCGTAACCAATATTCTTTTGCCTTCAAAATATTTGTCCATTTTATTACGATGTCGCATTCACACTATAAGAACGTTTCATAAAAAAATTAGCTTACTTATCTAAATTAACTATAAACATTGTTATCTGACTGTTCCGAAGTGGACAGTAGGTAAACCTCTTATATAACGATAATAATAATTGTATTCTCATATTTCTATGATAAAATGTGATGTAACAAACGTCTTGTGCAATCTTGATTTTTATTTAATAACAAAAAATAAGATTGTTATCTCACAAAAATGTATTTTGTACCTATGAGAAAATGGAAGTTGTGAAGTCTGCTTGCGAGATGTAATGACTCTCGAAAACAGCCACATGTAGTTCTTCGATAGTGTTGTCGCCTTTCTTGAAATAAGTACCTACATGACAACCTCACTTCTGCTCCATGCCTCTAGAGTAGTCTCACCATAGAGGTCGAAATTGATCAGCTTCTAGACTTGAAGAACCCGCGGTCTTTCAGGTCGCGGGCATTGAGACCTATGAAGATGTAAAAGCCAAAAAGTTAGGATCATTAGAAACCAGACCAGATCTAGACTTGAAGTACTGGTTTTCTACCCGTTTTCACAGTAGCTCCGCGCTAGCTGTTATTCCATCCAGGTCGAGGCTTAAGTTGGTGGTTACCCTTTCTAATCTTGCTCTGACTGACATCCGGGATATTGTAGGAAAAGTGTTGAATAAGATTTACTCCTGCTAGTGCCGGAATAAAGTTGTGTCTGAAGTCGAGTCTTTGTTGAACAAAGTCTCGGATTGACTAAATTAAGTCTTCGATCCCCAGAAGACACAAGTTTGCGTGTTTACCGCTAAAAAGAACCCGTTTGTCGTATCTCCTCACCTTCAAGGCACTCCCTTCGTTGCCTCTGTCCTCTGTCGACATATCGAATGTCGTTCTATTCCGCGGTCACTTGAAAGTGAAGGCCAAATTGGCCTCTAAAAAGCTTGGCGTGCTTTATAGAGCGGGACAGTATTTCATGCCGGTACACCGCTTGCAACTTTATAAGGCTCAAGTTCAGCCTCACATGGAATACTGTCCTCATCTCTGTGTCGGGGCACTCTGGTCCAGTTTCTTCCACTTAATCGCATTCAGCGCAGAGCGGCTTGAATCGTCGACGACCGAATTTTTTCTGATCGGCTTAACTCACTGGCGCTGGGAAGAGATGTTGCATATCTTAGCATATCACATCTGCCACGGGGAGTGCTCAAAGGAATTGTTCGGACTAAATCCAGCCGCTCAATTTCACAATCGCACACTAGCTATACCATGCATAGGTACCATCTGGATGACGTGCGATCTATCTCTGTCCGACTTACTAGAAGTTTCCTTCCACGCACAACTTCCTTGTGGAATCGTCTACCACCAGCGATTTTTCCGGACCGATACGACTTAGAGAACTTCAAGAAAAGAGCCTACTCTTTTTTAAAAGGCCGGCAACGTACCTGCAATTCCCTTGGTGTTACAGTTGATTATGGGCGGCGGTAGTCACTTAACATCAGTTGAGCCACAAGCTCGTTTGGCCCCCTATTATATAATAAAACGATTTCGTGTAGCTCCAGCTGTCCGTAGAACCTATCAATCTCAGGTGTCCCGTAAATGTCTCCAGAGAGACCTCTAGCAAAGACTGGAAGCTTTCGGCCCGCTCAATCGCTTCTTTAATACGAGTTGTATTGTAGTTGCGAAGTATCGCGGCATGCATTTGGAAATCTGTTTAATTCCTTGTATGCTCATAAGAGCCGTGGTAGCTCACATGGTTAACGCTCTCTGTAAATATAACAGAACGCGAGTAACCCGGGTTCGATCCCCGCCGACACCAATGAAATTGTTAATTGCAATTTTAAGTGCTGATTTACCACGTGCTCGGCGGTGGAGGAAAACATCGTGAGGAAACCTGCATTTCTGAGGAATAAGAAAAAAAATATTTCGAAGACATGTGAAGTTCGCCAACACGCATTGCTATATGCATATGGCAAGCTATAATCCAATCTCTGTGGTAAGTCTTCCATTAACATTGTTTAGTACGTATTGCCAGAATGCATGACTTGAGAGATTTCCTCACACATCTCCACCTCCTCATCGGGATACAGAGGTTGGTGTGTAACCGTCCTGTATGACCATCAACGAATACCAACTGGTGATTCCAGGTATAAGGCAAGATTTCAATCTATAAAACGTGGTAAACGAGAGACTTGTGGACAATCAATTGACATCTGTTTAGACAAAAGGTAGGGCCTAGTAGACCTTAGTATTTGATATTAATTTCAACTCAATACCTTCACGTTGTTGAGAAAAAGGGTGTTGACAGACGGATGGGCTTACAGACAGGTGCATAACAAAACGATCCTTTATGGTTTTCTTTTGACGTAAGGAACCCTAAAAAGGAAAAATATCAAACAAAACAGTATTTTACAACAAAATATTTATTATTTAAAACAATATGGCCTTTGGACAATGACAATTATATGTAATGGATTAAAGTGTAATTTTAGTTCGTTTATATAAATCGTTAATATAAATTTAAATATCACCGTTAAGTTACAGCCATGGTAGCGATACTGCTTTTTAAAGTGATAGTATTTTTTTACTAATGCCTTTATAATGAAAATGTCGCCTATTTGTTAATTGCCTAAAAATATTGAGAAGTTGTCTTATGAAACGATATGTAAAATTTTAAGGAAGCGTACATAATGATTTCTTATTTATTTTTTCACTTCTAGGTAGACATTAATTAAGATGTTCAGTATAGATCAAATAGGCTGTTCCATAGAACTAGTTTGTTATCACCCAAAATTATGATATCATAAATAAATTTTATATTTTCGATTAATTGGTCCTGGAAACCGGACAGAGAGATAAAAACATATACAACCCCCTTTAAATCCACAGGGATGATTGCAGGTATAATCGGATAAGACACGCTTTGTAGAACCACTGGTGTATGGATTTAATAATCTCACCAAAAGGAATAGGTTTGATAGAACCATAGAGCAGTGTACACGATGAGAATACCTTGGTATATCATAGCAAATCTGCTGAATACAGAAACTATTCAATACTGAAAACCTTAACTAATAAAGAAATTTACAAAATATTTATTATTAATATAGCAATAAAATACCTGTTAAATTGTTCTGGTGTTATAAAGTTATAAAATTACATATCTTTAAGCTAAGAAATTGAATTTAATGATACAATAAATACAATATAACAATTTTATTCGAAGAAAAAAATGGCTTTTTGTAACACATTAAAATTACTTAATTCTTTGGTACCTAAAGTAAGAACACAAATTGTCTTAACAGATCTTAGGCAGCAGTATACGATGAGATTGATACAACTAAAATAGTGAAGTCAACATTTTTTTTTAAATTTATGACTGGATTGATTGAATAACGCAATTGTATTATGTGGCAAGGAATCCTCCATCAATGGGCAACTCCACACCATTTATCATACTAGATCTGTCACTAAGTAAAAACACAACAGCATTAACTACTTCTGATACTTCTCCAAACCTGTAATCAAGATAACATGATAAACATACGATAGTTGCTGGCACGAGTCGTGAGCACAGATGAACTATGGTGGGGGTTGAGCCAGCGTAGGTACACTGTCGGCCAAAATTATTAGGTACTGTTGTTATTTCAATTCATAATTGAATATTTTCGCTGACTTATTTTCGAAATTCTGAGTCGTTAACTCCTTTAACTATGCGACGTTCAAAACTACAGTAGCTACGTAGACATTAGTCGCCTTAGCAGTCTGTTTAAAAACGTCTATCATGTTTTTCGCTATACCTAATTATTTCATGTAACAAAACACTGAATAGACCATTTGTCGAGATTGTCTATTTAACATCGAATTCTTTCTTCTCTGCATATTTAGCCCAAAATCCGAATGCTCAAATTATAACAAAAAAATTAACAATAAGAAATATCAAAAATAGTTATAAACAAGAAATACACAAAGAAAAATTAACAACGAGGTAACACTACAATTAAAAAAAAAACTAATTAAAAAGTTGTCACTAAAATTGCTCTCAAGTGTACAGTAGTCGAATGATACATGCGAACCCAAAAGACGACGAGAATCGGCTGACGAACCAATCACGTTGAGCGTCAGCGTGCTCAACGTCATATCGACCAATAAAACGTGTGCTTACGACTCGTGTCGGCAATTATACATTATATAAAGAGACAATTATGCAAGGCTGTTATAGCCATTATAGCCATATTAACATGCCAGACCCTCTGCAGCTATTGTGGTTGCAGCACAAATGAATCGTCTCTACTTGGGCATAGTAAAATAGAATATTAGGATAACTCCCGCGCCGCGCGAGACTCAAATGCCTACTGTTGCAGGATTGTCGCTGTCTTTCTGTTTAACAGCTATCATTTAGTTTTATAAGTGAGACTACTCTTCGCACAAACCTATAGTAGAACAATCCGACCAGCATCTCTGCAGGCAGGAAAACTCCGTCTAGTGAATTTCCCGCTTTAGTCGGATACCTTTACCTTAGAAATAGCTAGAAAGAAACCCAGCAGCACTTATTGACTATTAATTAATTTTTTTATAGGATAGGGTGACAAACGAGCACACAATCCACCTGTTGGTAAGTGGTTGCTGTGGCCCATAGACATCTACATCTATCCTCGATTACGAATCAAAATGCAGATGCCTTGTCACCCGTGAGGACTAAGATGGAATGCCTCGTTTCCAGTAAAAAGGGTCTCCAATTCTCTACACTATACGAAACACAGCAGCATTAAGCTACTATTTCACGCTGGTATTCTGTGAGAGCGTCGTCCTTCCTCGGTCGAGCCGACCCATTCGTGCTACAACTATACTTCTAATATAACTGCAGCATAGTTCTACCACGTATAAATATATACATTTAAGGAATAGCTTGGACCCAATGAATTCATTTCCGGGCGTTATTATCAACCACTTATCGATTAATATATAACCTCTTTTAGTTTTTCTCTATTAAACTTTGTGAGACAGACA